CCCACTTATGGGAATGCCTCTGAATAACTTAGGCCTGTTTGCTAAAATAACATCCTTTATCAAACTCATTCTCAAAAACCAAATATATATAGATTCTCTATATTAGTAATTCTGACTTTATTATATGCTTTGAAATCATGTAGGGGGATCTGATTAAATAACACACCACATTCCCACCCTCAGCAGGCTCAGCTGGCCCAAAGTGGGGACCAAGAATCTGCAATGTTAAACAAGTATGCCAAAATTTCTGTTTGGAATGACCAGACAACTTTGAGAAGTGCAGCTGAAAGAACGTTCAAGAAAAGCAATAGTGCATTTGAGGCAATTCCGAGCATGATTTAACCAACAGGGACAATCAGGCATATACTGCCTGCTTTGATGCACTAGTTTCCTGTAGATGATGCTTTTTTAGAATAAAATGCTCAGTTATATTTTTAAAAAGAATAAGTCAGAAAGTCTTGCCCGCGTTCCGCGCCGGCCTTGGAAATAGGGTTCCCCTTGGTGGAGGGGGCTGGCTATGGAATAGAAGCTAGGAAAAATAGAATGATGAGAAAAACCAGGACACAGAAAATATTTTCAGAAAGCAGGGGCAGGAAAGGCTAGCTGATCATATGGATAGAGCTTCTATACCCTGGCAAAATGGAGCCAGCACTTGCTATATTTATATTGGGACATCAAAGGCAGAGAGAAGGTTTCAAGGGTGGAGTCTTGCTTGTGTTGTCTTGCAGTCAGTAAGTTGATTGACATCTCAGCAGCTCACACCCATCTCAGGTGCTATGTGGGTCACAGCAGAGCAGAAAAGAGATTCACATTGTCCTTGGGCAATTAACCAGAGGCATTGTCCACTGGCCATTCCCAGACACCAGATGTCTCTATCCATGAGGCTTCCATGTGTGGTGACCCATATACATCCCATGGACGGCTCATGACAAGAGAGGGCACAATGGCACATGCCTGTAATCCCAGAGACTCCGGAGGCTGAGGCAGGAGTATTGCAGGTTTGAGGCCAGCCTCAGCAACTTAGCAAGACCCTGTCTCAAAATAAAAAATAAAAAGGGCTGGGAGTGGTAAAGTGCCCCTGGGTTCAATCCCCAGAACCAAAAGAAAAAAAAAAAAAGTCAGCCTCCATTCTGCCTGATCATATCCTGTTTACTAGATGCCCTGTTCCTTGAGAAGGATCCATTCCATGTCTTTGCTCACTCAAGTAAACCTGGACTTGGTCATTTTTTTTTTTTTTTTTTTTTGGTGGGGTTGGTCCCAGGAATTGAACTCAGTGGCACTCAACCACTGAGCCACATCCCCAGTCCAAAAATGGATATTTATATTTAAAGACAGGGTCTCACTGACTTGCTTAATGCCTCACTTTTGCTGAGGCTGGCTTGGAACTCTCAATCCTCCTGCCTTAGTTTCCTAAGCCCCTGGGATTACAGGTGTACACCAGTGTGCCCAGCTGGACTTGGCCTTCCTTAAGGAGGGATGTCCTCTGTGAACCAGGAAAATCATCTTAGGACAGCATTGGAGGATCTAGTAATTTGTCTGCAAATTATTACTTTTCCCCCTTTTCTTAAAAAAGGTGGGTTTCTCCCACTCCTTGCAGTTGGCTCACTAATTTCCAAGAGCAGGCAGGCAGAGCTGACATCCATCAGTCTTATGAAGTGGCTCAGCTCACCAAGGTGGCTCCAGCTGCTGTAATAGGATAGTCACAGGGGCCAGGAAGCTCCAGAATCAGCCTTTATTCATGTCATGATACACTACGTTTATTGCACCTTCCTGAATCTGTCCTTTCCTAAGGTAGTCCTTCATTTTGTATCAAGTCACTGGATTTTAACCAACATGATTCTCAATGAGAATGTAAGAATTCTAGGTTGGCTGACTTCTTATCACACTGTCCTCATGGTGAGTCTCTCACCCTCACTGAAGAGACTCCTACACACCCAGGAGCTGAAATTCAGTGCTACAGCTTCTTTCTTAAAAAAACAAATCCAAGTCTCACAGGATGGCCCTGAATCCCATACAGAGCTGGGCCCCTGGAGTGAGCGGGTGGGTCTCTGTAACACTATACTGGGTCAGAGTGCAAGGTTGCCAGTCTCTCCAGACAGGTCCCTTGGCTCTGAGAGACAAGGGTGGGGATGTGGCTCAGAGCCCTGTGGATTTAGTCTGAATGCAGGAGTTCATTGTGGATGTTCTATGATTTGGAGGGTGATAGCACTTAAAAATTAAACACTTGACAGGTTTAAAGCTCAGTGCAGTGTAGGAGAGACTATATTTAGATTCCTGTGAGCAAAATATTTAGAAAAAGAAAGAAGTGTTTATTCATTTTTTTTATCCCGGCCCTTCTTTTTCTCTCTCTTTAATATGAACTATATTTTCTGTAAGGACTGCAGAGACAACAAAGTGAAAAGAGATTCAATCAGATTGCTGTCAAAACAACTTCCACCAGTGGGAGCAGTGGTCAGAGCGCTGACCGCATCTTCCATCTCTTCCTGCTCTCTTCCTGTGTAGGTCCTGCCAAATTCAGAAAGGAAACCATGCTTCCTAGTTAAATTTGAATTTCAGGTAAAGGAAGCATAATATTGTAATATTTGCCTTCAGCAATATTTGGGATCTCTTTTCTGGCCTTGTTCCACCTGTACCCTGTACCATGCCACATGATGCTCTTCTTTTATATTATAGTGAATTTTTTTACACAGAGGATTTGACCTTCAATTGGATCAAAGTCTCCTCTGGGCAGGATCTTACTTGGAAGACCTTGAGGCACCATGACTGTTGACTGCCCTCTTTGGGGACCTGTGTTAGATTCCTCCTTGTGTCTCCTTTTGACTGCAAATGCTGTACACCCTGCACTCCCTATAGCTGTCCTCCCTGCATCTGCAAGGTCGTCACTTCAGGAACAGTGACAGGGCTGAGCACAGAGCCCTGAACCTAATGAGTGTGCTGTATATTTTTATGATTGATGAAAGAACTGAAAGCAATTTGTTGTCTTGTTAAAAGTCAATTAAATTCGACATTTGCTAATCACTTACCTGCATGTCAGGAGTTAGTAGTAGGCTCTGTCTACCATGTATTATGGGAAGTTAGATTAATTACTCCTTCCCTTTTGGAAAAATGAGAGGGTAGAGGAAGGGAGCAGAGTGGGGAGCTACCTCTGGATTTTGGGAATTTGTGTTATGGCTTATATAAGAAGATGGGAATAAAAAATTATCTTTCTATAGAGGGAATCATTTCAAATTTTGGAATACTACCTCTCCAAGAATGGAGAGAGATTTTGCCATTATATATTGTCCACTTCCATCAGGTTTTCTAGTTCTAAACTGTTTCTGTGGCCAGGTGTAGTGGAGCATGCCTGTAATCCCAGAAACTCCCAAGGCTGAGGCAGGAGGATTTCAAGTTCAAGGCCAGCCACAGCAACCTAGGAAGGTCCTAAGCTACTTAGAAAGACCCTGTTTCAAAACAAAATATGTAAAAGGGCTGGGGATGTGGCTAGTGGTAAAGTACCCCTGAGTGAAATCCCCAGTACCAAAAAAAATGTTTCTGGGGCACATGGATGTTGCAATCACATATCAATGATATCATAAAAATAAAAAAGAACTTTGAAAGCCAGTGGAATAATATAAATGACCAAATGTCCAACTCACATTAAAAAGCTTGCTAGTATGTAGAGTAATTATACACATCATTTACAGAAAGGCCATCAGATAATACGGTGCCTTTGCACACACTTTGTGCTTCTGTTAATGATGTTATTTAAATTCCTTCACGAAGACATGAAGCAGGCTTCAAACCTTGAAGATCAGGAGTTATGAATGCCCCTCTTGGTTGAGTGCTTTTCAGGTATAAAATGCACAGAAGAGTGAACACATATTTAGAGGTGTCTAGATGATTAGTTTAGTGCCAGCTAGGATTGTCCTAGGCAGAATTGTAATCATGGTCCTCAGAGCCTCACCTCCCCTTTTTGCTTCTCCTTGGTCTGTGGCATCCTGCTGCCTACTCAGATCCTCTGCATCCTTTGGAGGATGGAGGTAGACCAAGAAACTGCCCAGCACTTGAAATATCACCACTGCGCCTGTTCATGAGTCCTGCTGAGAAAACAGCCCATTTGATTGTAACTGGAAATAACTGTAGACAAAATAGCTGCCAGGCCCATACTCAACTCCAATGAATAAACATAAACCTGCTGTCATATGTACAACCATCAATAAAAATCCAAAACTTAATGTGGTTCAACTACATTTCCATTGTTCCTGGAGTTAGAGTAGAGTAAAAGCCAAACATGAGAATTCATGTCAATTTTTCACCAACTCCAACACTACAACATAGGAAAGTACCTATGAACGGGGATTACCCATATATGGGTCAAAATTCAATATGATAACCCCATGACTAAAGCCGTGATCAAAAAGTCTTTTCTGGAAGTTTGATATTTTTAAAGATGTGAATCTTGTCCTCTGTATCCTGTACCTCTGGTATCAAAGGAATTTCAGCTTATTAGCCATTTGTTAAAAAAATGAGAATGTTGGATTATTGATGTTATTTGGAAAGAGACCAAATTAAGCTTCTTTACTTTTTAATCCAGGTGAATTCCTTGTTTTTTTAAAATAAATGCATAACAAAACAATTATATAAAGATTGAAATAAATGAAGTTTTATTCATGATAGAAATATTTGTTTTGCCTGTTAAGATGAAACCTTATAATATCTTTATAAATTCCTTAATATTAAGAAAACATCACTCTTTCCTCTGAAAATTCTTTTATTGGTGATTACGTTTGGGAAGGAAATGAGCCTAATGAGTAAAGAAATGTAATAAATCTGGATCATTCCTACCCCAAGATAGTGGAATGTGTTGATTAACTCCGTAGCTTCGTGGATTTCTGATTTGGGGAATAAAATCTGTAACAAAATTACTTCTGGGACTCCCATTCTGTTTATTTGAATAGCATTTTTATCTAGCTGATTTGAATTCAAATACATTATTAATATTTTTCTTCTTTTTAATATAGGTGGAAAACAGACCAAAATATTATGGAAGAGAGTATGTATCATACTATTCTTTGTTTTAATAATTTAATAAGTAGTCGCTTCATGTGTCTTTTAAATATTAAATATTAAAAATTCTCTAATATATGATCTTCATCACATGTCCATTGTGCATGAGTTTCATAATAAGAATAAATGCAATCAGACTCCTTTGTATTGAATCTTCTTTATAACTCTCAGGTACTTGGTTTCCATTAAGGTGGGAGGGAAAGCGTCTCACGCTGCCATTCTCTCCACAAAAGCAGCTTTCGAGTGCCTGGCGAGTACTTGAAATGTAAGGCAGCATTTTTCATAATTGAGGCTCTCTGTTAAGGTTTTATTTCACTGTCTACCTGGATACAATATAAACATTTGGGGTGTCAAAGACCCTACACTGCAGCTGAATTCTTTGCTTTTATGTCCCTTATGAATGCAGTGGTCAGAAAAGGCACCCCATTTCCCTGCAGGCTCGTAAAAACCAAAGTAGTGATTTCTCCCCACTTGGATTTATTAACCAGATTGCCTCAACACCATCATTTTTCTCCATCCCTTTTTTTTTTTTTCCTTTTTTATTCTAACTCTTGTTTCACTTTCTCGGAAACAAATATGCAAACAAATTTGTAGAAGAAGCAAAGCCAGTATGCATGACCATAAAAATAATTTGCAGTCTAGGACTGTGACATGTCAAATACCTAATAGGGAGAGGGTGTTGGGGAGAAAAGATGCACGGGTTACTTTTCTTCCCATGTTCAACCTGGAGGCGTGATGAAGTGAGGTTTCTTTCAAGTCCACCTCCCAAGCTCTCGAAGCCTATCCAAGACCTTTTCCTTGTTATTTCCCCATCTATCAAAGCCTCATCTTCATGATTAATGACCCTATTAGTGACCCCAGCCCAATGTTCCTTCCTAATTGCCACAGCTGCATTTCAGAACTTTCTTTGCCAAGCTTTGGGAATTAGGCCAGCCTCTCCCAAAATACCTGCTCAGGAACACACATCCACCCCTACGTCCCTAACGTCTAGTCTACGTTGTAGCATGACTATCTTTCTCAATATAGGGATTTGTGTTTTGCTTGAAAATAGAACAATTGATTTTAAGAAGGAGAAAATGAAACCCTACCATGCACAATTTTGCACATGAATTCCAAAAGGTACTCAATTGGGCATTTTCTTTTTTGCATCAAAGTTTGGTTGAATAACCCTTTAGTTCTCATGTTCAACCCCAAGTACATTAAAATCTATAAAGAGAGGAGACCAAAGAACCATTTCCTTAACCACAAAAAGGAACATTTTGTATTAGAGGAGAATTAACCTAAAACCTTCAGATTCTTTGCTTGTTTTTTTTTTCCTCTTATCTTCCACTCAGAAATTAATAGATGTTGTATTCAGGAAATGCCCGTGCATATCTCTTGTGAATGAATCACAAGAAATTCTTAACAATGGGTACTTTTAGGGAAAGAGAATCCTTGCTTCAGTCCTGTTAAAAATTTTATTTCTTTTGTACATTTCAACACTTGTGCCTTTCAACATTTGAATGTTTAAATTTTCCAACTATGCACAGGTATTACTTTTGTTTTTAAAAATTCAATACGTTAATACTTTGGAAAAATTAAAACGATAGGAAAATAGACAGTAGAAAAACACCCAGAGCCCCATGACAAAAGAGAATCATTGTTCCCCTTTTCCCTTCATCTCTTTCTTTGTGGTCTATAGTACAATGTCCATACATTGCAGATACTTGGGCTTTTTGAAACCATGCATAAAGGGGACAATGAGCCACAGAGTGGATCTTCAGGGACACAACACAGTCATTTTCTCCTTTTGAACGATTGGATTTAACTCAGTTCTTGACAGTGTTCGTCTGCTGCTGGTGATCACTTAAGCTTGTCCATCCAGGGGAGTTAAAATGTAGCTGCTTTCACATGAACTGCCAACTCCAGACCCTCTTCTTCCCTTTCTCCTGCCCTCCTCCCCCAGGGCAGGATGCCAGGTCCCTGTGCCCCACTCTGTGTGTGCCTCATTCTATTGTGGTCACCTCTGTCCTGCCTTAGGTGTATCCTGGACTTCCCAACCTCAAACCTTCTGACACCAGCTTTTTGACCTTTCTGATTATTTTGTAGGAAACTTTCCAATGTCCCCTGCCTGTCCCTATCCATCTTCCTCCCACCTCTGTCTTCCCATCCCCTGTCTCTCTCACCTATGAGGCCACCCTCAGAGCTCTTGGCCCCTGTTCACCCCTCACAGGCAGCTTCACCACAAGCTTTGCAGGGTCCAGTGGGCCTCCTTCACAATAAAAGTCCCAAACACCTCTGCTCTGGGATCCCCATTAATCTGACCTGCCAGCTCCGTTTCCATCCATACTGTGCAGGGCCTGCCTAGACCCCCATGAGCCTGGCTCTGTAAAAATTTCCGCCTCTCCCCACCTCAAGACTAGGGACATTGGTCTCCTTTTGGGCAGGTGGGTCCCTCTTAATGTCACAGCACTTTCATCCTCAGTTCAGAAAAGCACTGCTCCCAGACCTCCAGGCTCTGACTCTTAAGATTTAAAAGCAGGATTTAGGAAGCCAGGAAACCCCTTTCCCCCAAGTTATCACTGCATTAGACATAAGAGCCACTTTGGGAACTTAGAGCCGTAGCCTCCTCTGGCCTTGTTCCCCAGGACAAAGGTGTAAACTTAGAAGGTCTACTTTGAAAGAACAGAGGCAATTAGTAAATGTATACTGTGGCAGGCATCCCCCTCACCACCACCAAAAAAAAAAAAAAAATGCTGTCCTACTACATTGTCCTGTTACTTGATCTTTGCATTTCTGGGGGAGTAGAAACAAAACGTGTCTAGCTGACTTTCCCTTTCCCCTCTCTCCCTTCCAAGAATGTAAGGATGATTTTCCTGGTTCTCTGATTTATTCCTCAATTCTCCAAGATTAGGTAATCCTAGAAAGAGAGTCTGGAGTCCCTGGGCCTTGTCCTTACCCCTCACCCCAGCCCACCTTCCTCTATTTTATCCCTATTCCATCCAAGGAATAGGGGTGAACAGTCTTCTCTGCTTAAAGGCAGCAGGGAAAGGGTCTGGTGCCTGAGCCAACTCCTACTTCACGCCCCCACCCCCACCTCACCCCGCTCCCTGACTGCTGTTCATTCTCAGACAATAGACTCCAAGGTCCACGCAGTCATTGACCAAACCCCCAATCCTCCTGGATAACCCACATTTTCTACATGCATTTTTATTATTTTTTTTAAATGGTAGAAAAAGAAGATAAATGTTACCTTAAAAAAATTTAAAAGGGTACATTTTCCAAACACATCCCTAAGCGATTTACTCTCAAAATGCAAAGGACCAAAGGACTGGAAGGATGTTGATTATAGCCAGCACATCTTTCCAAAGAATAAGCTTCTAGAATTAACAATGCCCAGCACCTGAAGCAAGCAGGTTGCTAATCAATAAGTGTTCATTTGCAATCAGGATAACACATAGTTCTCTGTGTTTGAGCTGAGAGCTAAATTGGTAATTGCTCTTTTGTTATTCCCCATGGTTAAAAAGAGAGCTCTAACCTGGCTTTTTGTTTCAACTTTTAGTTTCAGCTTATGATCAAAGACTATAGCAGAAAGCCAGGTGGACTGGCTGCCCTTCCTTGCTTGCCTCCTTGAATACTTATTACCTGTTTGAGGCAGGCTGGGGGTGAGTCCTAGTGGGTCTTCCAGATGTGCACTAGCCACGCCCCTCTCCATCCAGTGGGAGTTGTAGATTCTGGGTGGCCTTCAATCCTTTTTAGCCTAACTCTGGGTCTCTACTTAGCACTTTGTGGTCTTGTTCCCCCAGGTTTCATGGAATCATCTCCCGGGAGCAGGCAGATGAGCTCCTCGGAGGCGTGGAGGGTGCCTACATCCTCCGAGAGAGCCAGCGGCAGCCAGGATGCTACACGTTGGCTCTAAGGTGAGCTGTGCTTCACTCATTGTTCATGGCTTCCTAAGTGGTTTTACTTATGCTTTTCCCATTTTTAAAAATTCTGGTAAAATATCCATGACATAGAATTGATCACTTACCATTTTTACTCTTTATAAGACTACAGTTCAGTAGCATTAAGTACTTTCTCAACATTGTTCAACCAAATCCCCACCATCCATTTCCAGGATTTTTCTGTTATCCCAAACAGAATTTCAGTTCCTATAGACAGTCACTCCCTCTCTACCGTTTACTTTTTATTTTTACTTTGTTACAAAGCAACAGTGATATATCAAAGGAATTTGTGTAAATTTTCTTGGCCACAGATGTTATCGAGTTATCAGGTGTGAACACAGGGGCTCTGTTTATGGTCACAGAGCACCCTAGAGAATTATCTGGAAAATCAGTGTTCCTACAGCTACTTTTACCTGAGACATTGAGCTAGTTGACAGAGCAAGGTCTCAGTTCCCAGCAGCCCTTGTCCAACCATGTGCAGGCCTGATAAGACCTGCTGGGTCTTGTTTGTACACAGGGCTGTCTCAGGGATCACCTTGACCCCAAAAGTCAGCATGAGGCAGTCCCGAAACTGCATGCCAACACACCAGCAGAGTAGGGTTCTCCTAAGCTTTTACATTATTAGTATTGAAAGACAATATTTATTTATTGCCTCTCCATAACTTGATCAAATATTTTATCCATTTAATCCTCACCACAATCCTGGTGAGGTTTGGGGGGAGGTGTCTAATTCCAGAATCAGATTGTCTTCCATAAGTTCACTCTGAACTCTTTGGGATTGGAAGGCCTTTCTCATAGAAGGAATGGGAGCAGTGGACATACATCCCAGGCCAGTCCACAAATGGGTGTGTATTCGGGGCACCACCTCAATATTCGTGGCCTTGGAAAGAAACTATCCAAGTCGCAACTGGGCATGTCTAGAACACATCGAAGTGAGGTGATGGTGAAGAGAACTTCAAAAGCTATCAGGTGCTCTAGATATGCCATGTACTTTCCCATCTTCCAGCACCTGAGCAGCAAGAGCTGGCAGTCCCCGTGGGGAACCCAGCAGGAGCTGTGAGATGAAGGATTAGGTCCTTAAGGAACAGCCAGGGATAAAGGCAGGGGACCCCATAGGTGAGGTTGCTGGGATGCCAGTAATGGTTGTACTCTAAGCTCACCTCTGGTATCTCTCTTCTCCTGCACTAACTGTGGGCGCTGTGCTGGTGGTGGTCAAAGATGTAATAATAAGTGAACATCAGGGTGAGTGGTGGTGGCATTGCTTGCAGAGGTAATTGCCAATTCCCATTAAAGTATTTTATAGGTAAGATATCTGTAAATTAGGTGCCACCCTTGACTTTGACAGATGAGAATGCTCTGACTTAATGGCCTGTGTGACTTATAGAAAAAGTGACCCCAAATGACTATGGGGGGGTTAAATCCAACCTCCACCTCACCCCAGACATGAAAGAAACCTCCAGCCAGTAACCCCAACTTTTCAGGCCTCAGTCACCTCTGCTGTCAAGTAGGGACAGAAACTGAACCCACCTGGAAGGGTCTCTGAGATCATTAAATGTGAAGTGCTTAGGCCTGTGCTGAGGCTGTTGTCACTGTTCCTCACTGTTCCTGTTCTCTCACTTCTGTGATCCCTTGTTCTCTTGGGGCAGGTTTGGAAACCAGACCTTAAACTACCGGCTCTTCCATGATGGGAAGCACTTTGTGGGTGAGAAGAGGTTCGAGTCCATTCATGACCTGGTGACGGATGGCCTGATAACGCTGTACATAGAAACAAAAGCTGCCGAATACATTTCCAAGATGACCACAAATCCCATCTACGAACACATCGGGTACGCCACTCTACTTAGAGAAAAGGTGTCCAGAAGGCTGAGCAGGTCTAAAAATGAATCAAGAAAAACGAACGTAATGAATGAAGAGCACACACCAGTAGAAAAGGTGAGCTGTGTGTGAAAGAAGCAGCCTTTCTGTTCTTGGTTTGTGCTAAATAAGAAAGTGGTTAATGTTAGATGTGATTTGCCAAAATGTTGGAGGAGACCCAGCTCCACCCAAAGAACTCTAGAATTCTTGCTCCAAAGGGACCTTAGAAATCTTCCAGCTCAACCTCCTCATTTTCCAGGTGAGGAAACAGAGGTCCAGAAATGTTAAATGATTTGCTCACACACATACAGTCAGAGCCAGGACTTGCCACACAATTGTTTTTTTAATTTATTTGGAGTTTGAAAGTAAAAAATAATGTTTAATGGTGAACCATCAGGATGAAACATATTTCTAGTTGCCATTTGAGATATCACTGGTTCCATCTCTAGCTCTGCCCAGCAAGCCAAATGCATAGTTGTGTTTGCCTCTCTTAGGGCTGGACGACCATCCATGAGCCTTGAGTTGAGGGTGTAGCTCCGTGGTAGAGCATTTGGCTAGCATGAGTGAGGCTCTGGATTCATTCCCTAAAACTGCAAAACGAAAAATGCCAACCAATCCTGGCCCATTAGCAGTCACAATAGCTATCCCTGGGAGGCTTAGAAAGACAGGCTGTCCCCCACCGCAGATGAGCATTATCATGCTCAGCTAGGGATTGGAAAAGCCCTGAGTGGGTGACAGTGTGAACTGAGAGTGTCATAGCAGGAAATGGTGGAGGTCTGACTTTCATCCTCAGTAAATTGCTGTTTGAAAGACATTGCCACAGTTTGCTTGCAGATTCTTGGGATGTGCCCCTTTGGGGACCATCTGCTTTGACTGAATGAAAGTGTCAGCCAGCCACACCGTCACCTCCACTGAGTCTGTGCAGAGCCCTGCTACAGCAAGGTAGGACTGGTACAGAGATAAATAAGCTAGGCAAAATGGCGAGCACTGCTCCTTCTGGTGGTTGTTAATTGTTAATTAAACCAGAACTGGCCCCCTGTTGTCCAGGGTTGGTGGAAGGTAAAGAAACCTCAGGTTGACTGACTGGGCATCTGCATCATCCTTGGAGATTCACCAGAAAGCCCTGAGATGGAGAGGGCAGAGGGAGGCAGTGGTGGACCTGTTGGCAGAGAGGGATGATGTTAATTGATTTGCTAATTGCGCTTCAGAAGAGAGCCTTCCCCAGAATCACATCAGCCGAGCAGCTGGCCCATGAAAAAATAATTTGCCATTTTCTTTTTATAACCCCAGTGTCTCCACAGCACCTGTGTATTCTTTAGTTAAAAAAAAAAAAAAAAAAAAAAAAGATCTGGGAAATTGTAGCGTTGCTGATTGTTTGCATTTTAACCAGAGAGAGGAGAAACTTGAGTCCCCAACTTTCTGAGTTTGTTCTGGTACAGACAAGAGCCATTCCTTAGTCTGTCTGCAAAATCTGTTCAAAAGTAATTTCGAATAGAAAATCTGGAAGCTGACCTTCCTGGCCATGACAAAGCAGAAGATGAATTATAAAATAAATCTCTGAAGTGGTGTTTATATTTCTGAATCAGAGAGCAGTGCCACCAGGAAAAGCAATCTATTACAAATGGCAGGTTGTGCAACAGAACCCGTCAAGGAAAAGAGGTGGGGAGAGAGGCCACCCCTTCCATGTTGGGGATGGAAGCTTAGATCCTGGATGTTGGAACTGATCTTTCTAGATCATTGTCCTCCCCTGAGAGGAGCGTTTGCTCCATAGAAGCTGATATTTCTGATACTGCTATTGTGAAATTAGTACCACGAAACATACTCTTTTCTATAGATGTTTTGTCTTTATTTTTAAAAAGTGGAGGAGATGAATAATCAGATTCATAATCATGTTGAATAAGTTATTCAGTATACTTTCATCTTTGGGGAAAATAAAGGCGAATAAAGAAAATATGGAAAGAAGAAGTTCAAATTCAGCAAGTGCTTTGATGGACAGGTGCCATCAGTGTGGATTTTCTTGGACACTAATGGCTTTCCTGGGGAATACTCTGGACACTGGGTCTGGTCACTTGCTGGCAGCCACTCATTTTGTTAGTAGTTTGTTAAGTAACTTGGTAGAAATCCCATCTGTTTCTCTCTGACTGGTATTGACAAGTGGAATTATTAAAAGTCCCAGTCTTGCCAGAAATTGTGTGTCCCTTAAGGGAAGGTCAATGGCTTGTTGCCGTGAAGGCAGGGACTAGAGAAGAGCTACTGGAAACTTGAATGGATTGACTGGGAAGAGCCTGGGGTACTTATCTGCTTCAGTGATGGTGCGTCTTAAAAGTTTTAATGAGTAAAATGGGTAGATTTCTCAATATTTCTTAAATGCAAAACACACCATTTCTGTTTCCAGATTACTCAAATGTTCCCCCATTCATTTTATTGACCATTTCCAAATGAATCCAGAGAGACTGTTATCAGTGAATCCAAGAACATTAACAGTGCTAATTGGCACAAAGATGTTACTTACTCCATCGGATTTGAGTGGTTTCCAGATTTATCTGCTGTCAAGAGTGTTAGCAGTGAACTTGACTTTAATAACTGTGGATGAGATGGGGACTTGGGGAAGATGCAAAAAATTTAGCAATGGTTAGCCAATTGCAGTTGGTTTCCTTTCTGATTCTCTTTTTAATTGGTTTTTAAAACATTATGATGTGTAAGAACCAATATTTGGTGTATTTAATTAAAATGCTTATGTCTGGTACAATTTCCTATATGCCAAGTATTTAGAATTTATTCTAAAGCTGGATTATCTACTGACCTTCAGAAATTGCTGTGAGCAATGTAAGAGTAACAACAGGATTTAACATTGGTTCAGACATTTATAGTTCATAAACAGATTTCACATATGTGAAATAATTACCCATTTTATCCTTGGAACTGCTTAGCTAGGTTCATAGGCGGGAAACACCATCTCCATTTCATTAAAATGTTCACAGAGGCAGGATGAGGAATCAAACCCAGGCTTTCTAATTCCAAGTTTGGAGCGTCTTAAATCTACTGAGCAGCTGGGTCTGATTCAGTCCTGATTGCCTTTACTGCGTTAAGTAAATATCCTTGGTTTTGGCCATCCTACATCCACCATGCTAAAAATCACTCAGTCTTTACATGATCTGTGTTTGAAAACACACTGCCATTCCCAGGCATATGAACTAACCTTTCTTTTTAAACTATCCTACTGAACCAAACATGTGACAAATAATGTTTTCAACAGCACACTTATATTAATTAAATATGGTTTCCATATTAAAGTGCATTTATGTTTTACTGGGAAAAAAAAACATCTGTACCTTTGATATAATAAAATGCATTTAAAAATATATGAATTGAATATCCTTTATCCAAAATAGTATTTCAGATTTTGGAGCCTTTTAGATTTCAGAATCCTTACATAAACTATATCAATTGCCCATCCACAATCTGAAAATCTGAAATCCAAAGGCAAGATGAGGAACCTGACCCACACTGGATTTTGGAGCATTTTGGATATCATATTTTTGGATTAGGATTGCTCAATTTGTATCATATTGTATCCATTCACTTCACTATGTTTTACAGCAGCCAAAGTTAGAAAACAATCTAAATACCCATCAACTCAGGGCTCTTCAATGAATTATGGCACCTTCCTGTAACAGAATGCCATGCAACACTTGGAAAAGAATGAGAATCCTGACATAGGCTGAAACAGAAAGATCCCCTGGCCAGAAAATGAAAAAAGCAACTTGGGATATCATATGTATGTACAGTATGTATATTTTGTGTAAATTAGGAGAAAAATCTATTATTTATATATATATATATATATCCTTTCCTGGCAGATCATAAAACTTCCTTTGAAGAACACAAGAATTAGTGACATTGCTAACAGGGAGGGGCAGAGGGTATTTGAAAGGGGTGAGTGTGGAAAGGAAAATTTTCCCTGATCCTATTTGATACTTTTTGAATTTTGCATCATGATACCTGTAGTATCTACTCAAAAAATTAGAAAAGGAAAAAAAGAATTTATTATATCTTAAATCACATATGTTAAAGCAAACTTTCTGTCCCCCTTCTTCTCCCCACCACCCCAGATCAGTTCCAGCACTCTGCAACCAGGCTGGTTTTCCCATCCCTCACAAAGAGTTTGTGTTTAGAGACTTTTACTAAAGGTTAGGAGCTGGAAGAGGGTAATTATAGCACAGGGCAGAAATGGCCACATAAAAAAGTGTGTGACATGACTGTCCCTTGAGATGTGTTGGCTGCAGCTGCCTCCCTGGCACTCCCACTGCCCACCCAGACTCCTCATTGTGCTCTCCTGGGACACTCTCAGCCCACCTCCCACTTCCCCTCCCCTCCAGCATGCCCCAGCTGCTGTCTGACCAATCCCCAGGTCCCTCTTGCTTTCTTATAGCAAGCAGCGAAGCCCTCTTAGGTTTCCACTCTTCTACTGCAAACCAAGGTGAGCTGGCTACAGAATCTTTCCACCTCTTCAGGGTGTCCTCCTTTACAGATGAACTGTTTCATGGAGCAGTGACCTTTATATCTAGAGTAATCCTTTCATTGCTTATTTCCCAGTTCCCACCATATGATCCAGTTGACCCATCCAGATATCTTTGTGTAGAGTGATACTACATTTTCCTGCACTGCCCTTGAACAGGTGGCAATGGCCATGCTCAGGAATGAGTGCCCAGCCTGGTTGGTCAGTGGAATACTCAGATCATCCTGAGTTATATTCCCCAATCCCATGATGGAACTTAATGGCTAGTGCCCCGGGTGACTCTTTGCTCAGGAGAGTGTTTCAGTGTTGTTTTAATCTTGGCAAAATGCTGATTTGCTCTGTTTACAGAACAAAGTTCAGAGTCCTCAGCATGATATTTGCAGCCTGTCTGAGCCTGGGTCCCTTGGAAAGTAGAGCATGAGAGTAGGGCCTGGCATAGATGGTTAATGTGGGAAGGTATGCCCCAAGCAGGAAGGAAGGGTCAAGGTCAGGGTGAGTCAAACAGCTAAACTGAGAGGAGAGTCTGATTGTGCATCAAGTTGTCAAGATGGTCTTCTTG